ATGGACAAAACTGGCCCATCAAGTGCGGCTCGTGCTAAGGAATCGGCCAATTCATTTAATCTTAATCCACAGTGACCCGGAACCCATAGTAATCTCAGGAGTCTCAACTGCGGCGGTACTAATGTTTTGAATGTGCTTAGAATTCGAGAGTTCTCTGAAGCTGTCAGAGCTGCACAAACTGAAAGAGAATCCGTCATTATTACTGCATTGTTTTGATTTGATGGAAGTTTTCGAAGAGCTAAAATAATCGCCAAGAGCTCCGCTTCAAAAACTGGAGTAAAATCAGGCAGTCTCACTGAAAAGGACCAGTCAAGCAAATCAGAGGCAATGCCTACACCTGACTTTTGATTATTTACGGAAGCATCTGTGGCTATTATATTTTTTGTTTTTGCATGCTCCAAGTAATCTAATAATATGCTATTTAAAAAATTTGAGGGATTGTAATTTGGCGTTTTGCGGGAATATATCATCATACTCAATAATAACATGACAATTCGAGTCATTAGTCTCAATGACATTTCTAATGTTCACATTTATACTTTGTAGATTTTTTTGTACAAACATTATCTGAGGTGTGTGAAACCGTGGCCAATGAGCAAGAAAGAAGGCGTCTGGGTTTGCGATAAAAGCATATTGAGATCTTCTTGCCGGTAAGCTATAAAATTTTAAAAATGCTTGTACGGTCAAAATTCGAAATCGACAAAGCAGTGTAGGCAGGCGCGCTTCCTGGTACAGTACGTTGATAGCCACAAATCTAGGGAGTCCCAGACACATTCGCAGTGCTTCTCGCTCCAAGACAACTAGAGGTTTCGTTTTATAAGCAGGGCCACCCGAGAATAATATGCAGCCGAATTCCATGATGGGGCGCATGTACATCTTGTACAACGTTATCAAGGTGTGCCTCCGTAACCCATATTTCCGGTTACTTAGCTTGTGTAGTAAGCCTGAAGCCCGCTGTGCTTTGGTAGTTATATACTCTATGTGTGTACTCCAGTTAAGTTTGTCATTATAAATGATTCCCAAATATTTTATAGAGTTTACTTGCTGGATGGGTTCTTGTTTATATAGAATTGAAATTGAAATTGGTTCTGCAAGCGGAAACGCCATGAGCGCGCTTTTGTTGACATTTAACGATAACGAAATCGACTGCAACCAAATTTCCAACATGTTAATATATCTTTGTAATTTAAGTTGTAATGAGTAAATATCACAGTCAGCAGCAAAGAGTGCGATGTCATCAGCATAAATGTAGACAGTAACTTCTTGATCTGTTGGAATTGTGCTCATTAAAGCATTAAATAATATTGGAGATAAGACTGCTTCTTGGGGAACTCCGCGCGTTTGTTTAAATCTAGATGAGGAACATCCATCCTTGACGCAGTAGAATTCTCTTGATTTTAAGAATTCTGCCACCCACTCAATAAAATATTGTGGTAAGTTCAATCTCTCTAGCGTATTTAACAATATGAAGTGCTCCACTCTGTCATACGCCTTGGCTATGTCAAGCGTTACTAAAGCAGCGTATTGCCTTCTTTTACGCGCGAGCTGTATTCGGCTCTCTAAATCAGCATGGGCACACCAAATTGAGAAATCACTACGAAAGCCGATGTGGTTCGGTTTTATTACTAAATTGTCTGCCATCCAGATACTTACTCGGCTATGTAGGACCCTCTCTACTAGTTTGACCATGTTAGATGTTAAAGAGATTGGTCTGATATTATCAACTGTTAATCCTCCACCCGGCTTTTTTAGTATTGGAATCACCTTTGCTATCCTCCAATCCTGCGGCACCCATGAGTTTTTAAGGAGTAGTTAATAACATTGGCGACGTCTCGAGGCGATAAATTGAACAGAATTTTAATCATGGGTACTGTGATTCCATCTGGGCCAGGAGATGCACAGGGTAAATGTTTAATCACGTTGGATACTTCAGTATGTGTCACTTCTTCAAAGTCAGACTTTGTCGTAGACTTGTGCCAGTTGTTTGGCACTACTGAAGTGAATCTTCTTTCCAGACCTTTACCGATAGCCTCTAAGGTAGTGGTCATTTCTTGTGCCGACAGATTATCACAAGCTACATTAACTGGTGATGGCAAGATTTTCCGAGCTCTCATATATCGGAACAGTGCTTTCATATGTTTAGGCTTCGACAGGTATTCATAATGTCTTCTGTCATAATCTTGTTTAGCCTGAGCTACCGTTCATTTAAAGCCCGCAGCAATGAATTTATAATCGGCCCAGTTTTGTGGGGATTGATTATGTAAGAGCTGCTTCCAAGCTGCCTGACGTCGTCGGTGCTCTCTTGTACATTCATCATTCCACCAACAGCTAAATACTCTTTTTGTGGATTCAACAGTAAATTCGGCTCTTTTGTAGGATCGTTTATAGACTGCGTTTATTTTCAGTGCTTTTTTATCATCGCTCTCTTCCGAGTGAAAAGCCAGTGCTGACTTCAGGTCATTCCTAAATTTAGTGTAATTTACAAATACTCTTACATTTGAACAAGATGGAATTATCGGACAAGAAATTTCAAAACTTATCGGTAAGTGGTCACTGTTGGTGCCACAGTCCAGCGCTTTCCAAGAAGAAGTACTAATGGCTGAACTGACAAAACTTAAATCTAAGGCCGACTTGGAGTGATTACGAATAAATGTGGGGGTTCTGACGTTGAGGCACGTCAGGTCATTGGCCATTGTCCACTCCCACAAGCGTTTCCCACTAAGATCAGTTCTAAAACCCCAACTCGTGTGTTGGGAATTAAAGTCTCCAACTAAAACTTTGTCTTTGCACCACGATTTTGTAGCTAGATCCAAACTTCGTGTGTCTTGAACTCCATGCGGAAAATACATATTAACTAAAGTGAAAGGAGTGCAGTTGGGCAGTGTAATGTCTACTGCCAAAATTTCGCATTCTGGCGACATATGTTTGTATGAGCATTTGACTTTCATACTAATTCTATTACTAATAAAGAGAGCTAGACCCCCACCTCTCGATGGACGGTCTAATCGAAAAGATTGGAAGTTATTTAAATGGAACAAATTATGTACAGATAGCCATGTCTCTTGTAATGCTATAATATCAGGAGCGAATTTAGAAGTCAAGTATACCAAATCCGTAGATGCAGAATGGATTGATCGGCAATTCCAATGGAGAATCTTAAGCGACCCTATGGTTTCGAAAGAGCTGCTTCCGCTATAGCTTTCTCTAGAATGCTTTCTTTCAAGAAATCCCTCTTTGAAAGGCTCTCCTTTTCTTTCAGATACTTTTTGTTCTTTGTTTGTTTCGGTGAGTTAGTTTTCCTTGACACAGGGGATCTAGATCTCTTCAGGGACCTAGGGTCCAAATCCATGTCATCGGAATCTATTGTATATGCAGCTTTGTCTTCACTTACACTCTGTATATCTACTGCAGAGTGTGCTGTAGACGGAGAATACGATGGTGCGGTTTCAAATTCCTCATTTTGGCTGTGGACGCCTATTGCAGAGGCTCCTGCGGGCTGATAATACGATGGCGCAGTTTCAGATTCACCGTCAGTTATTGGTCGTGAACTCTCAACTTGTTGGGATACTAGGCCTGACTCTCCCGCTGTACCAAATATGCGAGTCATCTGGTTAGCCAAAATTTGAGATAGAGAATCGCAAAGGTTAGAAGTCAGTCGTTCCATGGCTTTTTCTAGAGCCTTTTCTATGGCATCCGCTATATTCAGGGAAATCGACCCATTTATTTCCGAGTGATGTCGTGCTGCAACACTGGCATACCCCTGAGTTCTAGTCTGTATTTCCGCTAGGGCTTCTCGTCGAGAACAGCGCCTACGCCCTATAATTTCAAGAATTTGCATTTCTCGAGCCTTTGCAGAACAATCAGGATTATCTGCACAGTGTTGTTCGTTGCAGAGACAACATTTCTCTTCTTTAGCTTTGCAGTAATTTGTTTCGTGGTTGTCACCACACACTCGGCATCTGAGTTCTGACCTGCATCCTTTAATAGTGTGACCGTATCGCCAGCACTTCGTACACTGGAGTGGTCGCGGTGATAGCGGTTCCACTCTGTATATTAGTGGCCATGCCTTGATTTCGCTTGGGAGATTCACTCCAGCAAAGGTTACAATTACCGACTCAGTCGGCGTCTTCTGCTTTTCTACTAGTCGTGCACACCTATAACGGAAATAGCACCAGTCATGGCAAACATCTCTAATACCTCAGACGGGGTCAAGTTAACATCGACACCGCGAACAATACCTTTCACACATGCCAGATGCGGGGGAATAAAGGCGCTCACCGGATTGGTCGCGAAACTCGAGCACTTCAATAGGTCTTGGATACAGAGCTGATCAGATGAAAAACATAGAACACCACCTCTGCCGAACTGGCGGACCTCTGTGATGCTGTGAAAGTGAGACGTCACAGCTCTAAGCTCCGCCTGGATCACTTTCGGATTCTTCATCCGAATGAAGCCGTCGTTGCTAGGGACGAGGGCCACAGGAACTGCGGGAATGCCGTTGCGTAGAAACTGATCCACTGGTATATCCTGTGGCGGAAGTGAAGCAGACCAGGGGCAAGCCCCTGGTCCAGGTGAAGAAAACTGCATCTAAGTGAACTTTCTAGCGCTAAAAGCGCTTACTTAGCTGTAAAAGCACTATAGTAACACCTAATAAAGACAAAGAAACCACAGCCACTACACAAACTTAGGCCAAAACCCCAGAGCAAGCACGACCAGCTACTTGCGTGTTCGAGCGTTCAGGAGCCACGTTCCAGTCTCCCTCCCTCGTTGCGCGAGGCTCTTCTTCTTCCTGTAGCTCGTGGCGCATCAACGCGCGCCACGAGCTACGAAGATGTTCTCTTCTTCTTCGCCGCCAAAAACGCGTATGAGCCACAGTGGCTCTTTTATCAATGGTGGCAATATTCTCGCTAACGGGGCCTCTTCCGTGTAAAGGGTTCAAACCTTCAAGAAGCTCTCATCGGGTGGGCTTACACATTTTGAGGTTTCTTTTTCTCCTTCAGCCCCCATACCGTAGTGGGTTGAAGCCACACTATAAGGATCCAACCAGGCCACCAGCCATCTGGGACGTGGGAAGGGCAGTTTTCGACAAAGGTCAAGCGAAAGAAGCCGAAGCCGCCAAGATGGATGCACTGAATGCCGTGGAAGCTGTGATGGACATCATGGTAGACTTCATGATACCTCCCATGCCTCCCTTGAATCAGCCATTCCTAAACCTTCAAGGTCCAAACCAGCCTCAGCAGAAGGTAGCCGTTGCTTACCGTCAAGCACTCGGGGACAGCTCGCGCACGGCCTCCGAAATGCACAAGAAAAGAAAGAGCACCGTACGCGTTCACAAGAGCCAGGCAAGCGGAATTCCTCCGAGGTGGGACCGCATAGCTATACCGCCGGTTGAAAGGAGCGTTTACAAAGAGCAGGTTACAACAGCGCAGCGGTCTGACGTAGAAGTGAACGCGTATCGACTCGAAAACGAGATTGTAGTTAGTGGGCGAGACGTGCCGAACCGATGCTAAGCCTCGAAGAGGCGAGCCTACCGGAATGCTTACGAGAATGGTTAGAAACAAAGAACTGTGCCATCACGAGCATTCAGGCTCAGTGTTGGCCTATAGCATTCCATGGCAGGGATCTTCTGGCAGAAGTTCAAGCTGGTACGGAAGTCAAGGCTGTCGCCTACCTTGTCCCTGCCATCATACACGTCTTCAGGCAGCCTCCATTGAAGTACGGGGACGGACCCGTCGCACTCATTCTCGTTTCAAACCGTGAGATGACCCGTGAAGTTCATAAGCTAGCCTGCGAAATCGATGAGCGCACGAAGGTTGGAGTCGTGTGTCTTGCCAACGGTGAACCCAAACAGCCACAGCTCGAGGAGCTCGATAAACGTCCCTCGATATGCATCGCCACTGTCGGTCGTTTGCTAACCTTCCTGAAAGAAGGCAGACTAAACCTCCACCGCTGCACGTACGTGGTGTTCGACGGAGTCGACCGTATGATGGTAACGGGACTCGAAGATCACGTTCTGACCATCGAACAGTGGCTCCGTCCCGACCGTCAGACGCAGATATGGCTCAGTTCACGAACACAAGACGTGCATCCGCTATGCGAGGACCTGCTAAAAGACTACGTACAGGTCAGCTTCGGAGTGAAGGAGGTGCCTTTTGTCGGGAAGTTTGAGCACATCGCCATTGTTTGCGACGAGACGGAGAAAATCGATCAACTCGTCACTCTTCTCGAAGACATCCTCAGCGAGGGTCGTCAAAAGGTCATCGTTTTCGTCGAAACGAAACAGACGGTTGAATACGTCGTGACCTTCTTGACGCTTCGAGAGTGGCCCGTCATCGGCGTCCACGGAAACAAGAGGGACGACGAATTGGACTGGGCCCTCTCCGCCTTCCGGGAACGAAGGGGCTTCCATTCTCGTGTCTACCGACATGTGCGCGCGAAAACTGGATGGGGCCGGTAACGTACGCTACTTGGTCAACTACGACTACCCAAGGTCCACGGAAGTTTACAAGAGGCGCCTGGAACATGCCTCGCGTTCCAACCGCGACGCCTGTGGCGTTCACATTCTTCACTCCTCAGGACAAGCGACACGCCCGGGACTTCGTGTCAGTACTCCGCGAGGCAGAACAAGTCGTACCACGCGAGCTGAAAGAGATGGCCAAACAAACGACGTCAAATCACACTAATGGTGTTCGCCGCCCCGGCAAGATCCGTGCTGTGTGATAATACAGGCCACCGCTCCCAGATGTGTTTTCTAATATCGGTTGGATACCTGCGTTGGGAGTCCATATCTCTAAAAAATCAGATGAATAATATGAAGCAGTGACGTATTTCAGCCACAAGGAGTGAATATAACTGTTGCTTTTATTAAAATTATTCGAATTACAAAGAACTACCTTTTTCTCTAGTGTGGTTTTAGTTATATTTTGGGATCTTATGTGTAGCCCATCAGGCCCCGATGGACCACTGGCATTGCCGTTATATGCATGCTGTGACTTGGTCCAATGACGAATGCGTGTTCACACGAAGTGTCCCGCATATGCAGTCGGCCGCGATGGTGTAGCGATTTAAGTGCTCGGTTGCCGACGTGGGCTTAATGCAAGTCACGGCTGTCGCTTTCAAAGGAGACAAAATGCTATAGGCCTGTGTACTGTGCGACGTCAGGGCTCGTTAAAACGCATGAGTTGGTAGAAATTCCCGGACTCCTCAACTATAGCGTCACTCATAATCATATCGCGCTTTTGAGACTCCCTCTTTTTCTGAATACGGGGGTGAGCAACGCGCACATGCTTTCCTTAAAGGGCTGCTCACCAGCCTCGTAAAACGAGCGCATTAGTTTCCCGTGATGTTTGTATGCTCTCGATGAGTCCATATTCTCGAAGTATGAGATGTGAGTTGTTTTCCTGCCCTAGTTTGCGGTGCTTCCGTGTTTCCTTGACTACCAACTGATTCAATTTTGCGTGTTTCAGGCTGCGCGATCGGACATAACAGTGTGAAGTAGGCGATAGTGAAATCTCAATAGGCTCAACGCTTAAAGCGATACTAAACAGGAACAGTGAGTCGTCTTAGATTGATAAACAGCACTGTCAGAGCTGTATTGTCATACGTTTCACAGTCATAGGTTCATTATTAGCGTAGAAAATTGAGGTTGAAGTGTCATCTTTTTTTAAATTTCGTGCCCTAATCTCCACGCATGACGTAAAAAATTCCACAGTGTATTTCTCGTATTTTTTGCGGCATTGGCTCGATAGAATTTTTTTAGTGTTGTTATGCTAAGTCTATGGCGCCCACAGATTGCAGTGTACTTCAATTTTATTGAATACAAGTTACGCAGGGCCCAGTAGACGCGTTAAAAAATTGGTGACATCACAGGATTTGATGCGGGAATATCAAGGTGGCGTTTCCCCTCGCAGTTCTTTTCGCGCGTTTACTCGCTTACCAAGAGTCTTGTCTCGTTAAGAAGGTTGTTTTCGGGATTGTGAAAGTGTAATTTACTAATACGCGAAAAGGCGCTTTTAGTGTCCCTCTATTGCTGACGTCGTACACGTGCCTTTTAGAAAATAGTGACGAGGAGGGGATATCACTCGTAGGAAGGGTAGCGAAGGCGACGAGGAAACCATTGCCTTGTTTTTGAACGCGGTGTGGTGAGGGGCCTTATAAGTCATCTGAATGAGAGCGTTCTATTTTTATTGCGATATCATTTATATGGACACACTCTGGTGAATTTTGCCGCCAGCGTCGGCGTCACTCACCGTATAGGAATACGTATATATATATATATATATATATATATATATATATATATATATATATATATATATATATATATATATATATATATGTATGAAAACGCGAAACGGAAAAAAAACCTGGATGAAGACTCCGGCGCGTGGCACCGGACTTGGGACTCCTGAGACGTGACTGCGAGACGTTAGCCACTGAGCCATGAAGGAGCACCGCCTTCAACGTTCAAAGGGCAAACTATTTATATCTACCACTTACCGCTGGTGCCAGGAATTTCTGGGGAGGGCGGGGGGGGGGGGCTATTGTGTTTTCGGCCTTACGAGCAAGATAGCGCAATGAGCGCTCGTCGTCACGCTCATCTCCAACGCGTACTTTTCCCCGCGTAGAGAATTAGGGCGTACGTTCGATAGTGCGCCCTGATCTTGCAGTGGTAGAACTGTACGTATTGTCTAGCCTTTTGGTTTTAACGAAACGATTGTGTTGTAGTTACCGGGTGCACAAAAGTCACTGCCATCGTTGCACAGTCTCTGTTTGCGAAAAGAGCACGCTTTTCAGACACAGCGAATTAACAAATGAGACGCTTATTCGCGTTCATCTCTACTTGTGAGTAGGTTTCGTGCGTTATTTGTGCGTGAGAAACACAGGGCACGTTTCAAATCTACTTGCCATTCTGCGCGTGACCTTCGAATTTGTTGCTATCGCATTCACTGCTTCGCCTTCGCGGCAAAGCTCGGACTTTTTTTTTTTTGACAAGTCGGAAATGCACCCCGAAAAAGGTAGTGTTTGTTCACACGGACTATACAGGAAGGCACACAGATTACGATAAAGGTAAGCGAACACACGTAAGCCTACTCGGGATATCATGGAAGCAAAGACCATAGTCCACGAAGGGGCGAAATGTGCCAGCACACTGTCGGTTGTGTGAGCAGGAAAAAAAAAGGTCTTCTTCGTAATAGCGTTGAAGATTTCACGCGGCTGCGAAGTGACGTATACATGCAGGGTGGATTTTTAAGAAACTTCAATTACCAGAACAGCCTCCGCCCGAATACCTTCCTGTTGTCCGTGTTCACAAGTGTTTTAATTTCTTTTTAACTGAAGTATACAAATGAGTACCACCAACAATAGGTAGGTGGATGGATAGATGGATGAATGGATAGATCGATGAACTTTAATTGGTCTTTCGGAACATGCTTTAGCACCTGACGGAACACGCCCTCCCACGTCGGAACAGAAATACTAATGATGCAAAAAAAAAAAACGATTGGAAAGCAGTACACTTGCTATGGGTGCTGAAATAAATAGTTCGCGTTGGCGGACAAAACGTTACCTGCTGGAAAACACCTAAGGTTTCCATAAAAAAATAGCATATTCAGAAAGATTAGAGTTTAATCAACCAAAGGACCAAGCAGGACTTCTTACAGGCTACTCCACAGCACATCATAATTCACACTGTCAATGAGGTATTACAGAAATGCTCGGAATACAACCAACACCTATACATAAATTTCACAGATTACGATAAAACGTGTGACTCAGTCGAGACATCAGCAGTATTGCAGGCACTACGGAATCAAGACATCGATGAATCTTACATAAACACGCTGAAACAAATCTACAATGAATTAACAGCCACGTTTCTAATAAGCCTATAACAGGAGATCATCACATTATATGGTGTCTTGCTCACAAAGGTCTGGAGGGAAACGTCGTGGCCGACCGTATAGCTCAAGCCTACGGCAGGATCAGACGTTGAACCTCTTTTAGCCCACGTGGCAGCCTTCTTTAACAAAGGTAGCAATGAAGAGAGTATGGGCTTCCACATAAAGACTTGAATAGCCAACAAAGCAGGAACTGGAGACGCATACAAACGAATAGCTTTCCAAATTCGTACCCCCTAAGTAGATTATAGCCCACACAATTTATAGAAATATGTCCATGGTGTTCAGGCACACTGACATTCAGCCGCATAACATTGGAGTGCACCAAAAGGCCCACACACATAGGCAGTCCACACGTTACAAACCATCCGCACATGTTACACAGGCAGTGGGAGGCATGACTTGCGGACGACGCCAAGCAAAGTCAAATAGCTTTACTTGATCAGGCCCAGCAAGCCGCTCGTGCCAGCGGAGCCCTGAACGAAGGGCTCGACCACGAATGCTTTGCTTTACTTTGCTATCCTTGTTAAATGGCACGTACCCACTTTGGGGGATTGGCGAAGAATGCAACGTAGAGACTGGTAAATGTTATTTTAGGTAAACTATGAAATTTTGAACCACAAGTAAAGAAATAAAATGGCAAATATACGTAAAATATTCAATTTAACTGCAAGTAATATGCTTTTGAGCCTGTATTCTAGACTGCCGAAATAAACTGACGGGAATAATTTAGAAACTTATGTTTTAGCCTAACGAAATGACGAAGAATTTTTAAATATCAGGATAACATGGCACTCGTTGAGTATTTATAATAAAAATACACAAGGCATCAAATGCATTCTTGTGGCAGTATCCCAAGCCTGAGGCACCGAAGCTTAAAATATTTTCCTCCGACAAGGTCAAGCCTATTTTTGTAAAATGAGTTATTAGAAATCGAGTTCTGAAACGAGAATATCTTGCACATGTCAAAAAGTAATGTGTGATATTTTCCAGTTCTGTGCAGAATTGGCAGAGGGTGATATCGTCAGACCAGCCCTGTACCGGTAAAAGTTTAATGGAGGGACACGACATCGAAATCTGGTGATCATCACTTCTGATTGTCGAGAATGGCTCCACTGTGATCTCCATGGGTATTTTAGGTGGTTATATTCCGTCCACGTGGTTATTGCTTCCATCCTATCTGTGTGGATAGCTGATCTTCTAAACCTGATAGCGGTGAAGTATTCTACCACTGGGAGAACCTGAATTATTGGGAGATCTAGCGATAAGCAGGCTAAGGCGTCGGTCATTTCAGTCAATGTTAACCCACAGTGACCTGGTACCCATACTAATTTTAGGTACTTCAGCTTAGGTGGAACTAATGATCGTAACGTCATCATGGCACGAGAGGTATGAGAAGTCGTAAGAGCTGTGCATACCGAGAGCGAATCAGTAATTATTATTGCTCTGTTCTCATTCTGCGGAAGTTTTCGCAGTGGCATGATGACTGCCATTAGCTCCGCCTCAAAAACAGGAGTGAAATCCGGTAGCCTCGCAGCAAATGAACCCCAACTGCCTG